CACAAAGAACATGCATATGCAAAATGCATGTTTTATAATTACTTACAGCTAAGGTAATGTGCATAAATGCATCAGTTCGTGCCTGTGCACATAAATCGTATCTGATCTAAATTTGCAGTTGAAGGTTTGTCCTAATGTTTCTTCCACATCAACAAAGGCCTTTGCTTTCCGGTAAATTGTTTTGGGAGAAATGGTTTATTAAAACTTGAATAGGTGGTTACAGCAGCATTTCCCGAATCTGCAGCAACAAAGCACAAATATATATTTATATTTTAGCAGAGTTGTGAATTGTGTGCAATGAGAGAGAAAGACTGGGTGCTGCAAAATAATATATTGAAAATATGTGTTGTTCTCGCTGACTGCACACAAACACAAACATAAAATGTTGTCTAATCTGCAATCAAATGGGAGAGTTCTGTTTAATGAATCAATCGAATCGATTGATTTGGGTGAGCTGACTCACTCATTCACCGAACCTTAATTTGATCATGTTTTATGATCCCATCATGCAGTTTTTAAGATGCAAGACTGCCCATTAAACCATAAACACCTCTTATGCTTGTAATTATTCCTTAAAGCCTGATTGATGTTCTTTCCTTCACTAAATTTGATCGCATCGGCGTTTCCATTAAAATCTCTTTTGATCTGCAGAATGAATGCCTGAGTAATGATGCATGCTTAAATAAACGTTGCATGAGCGTACCAGAATATCTCTAATTGATGACAGACTTCATTTCATAAATGCATGTGATAAAAGCTTACATACACACATAAAATGACAACCAATGTTTTTTTAATATATATATATATAAAATGTTTATTTGCACCCCTTCATTACTTGTCCATATATAAGAGAGAGTAACAAAATCCAAATATGCAATCCATTTAGTACTTTTTTCTTAAAAAAAAAAGAAAACAAACTGTAAGGCATGTCTGCTTGCACGACATAAACGTCGCATTAAAACTTCACCTATAGTAGCTCAAAGCAGCGTGCTTCAGTAGGAACAACGTTCACTTTCAGACCACAATCTTCTCAAAGTGTTTCAAACATGTATTTGACATGGCTTGTACTTGTTTACATGTAAACGGTTTTCTTTTTTTTTTTTCCTTGTTTCGTCACTCATAAAGATCTAAATGTGGAACTCAATTTCAAAGTGCAGTGTGGAAAAATAAAGCAAAACTATAGAAACAGATACACTCCGAGTGCTTGGATCTGGTTTGTATCCATCAAACACATTACAACATGAAAAATAAAAAACATTTGTCCTTTTGACGGATAGACGGCTTAGTCTTCGGATCCTCCGTGACCAATAAAATAGGCGATACAGTTGAATCGATATCATCTCCGCACAAAAGAGAAAAGCCAAATACATCCAGACCACAAGTAGAAACACGCAAGCTTTAGGAAAAGTTTTACATAACATGCTTCATCTTCAGATTGTGGGCAATGGAAGAGAAAACAGAGGGGAAAAAAACGTCCGTTTTTGAGCTAATGTGCCCCTTCATGATCTATATAGCAACCAGTTTTGAGGCCCTCGACCACTTTTGTCTTCCTTGAAGTAAAGTTATCATCTGATGAGCATTCATGAATTATACCTTCAAGAAATTGTTCTGTTTTTTTTTTTCTTCTGCATTTGCATCTTCATTTCCTTGGCATTCACATCTAACACTTAAAGTCAACATAGAATTACCTATTTTGCTTCCATTAAGTTCATTTTAAGTGAGAAAAACAAAACAAAACATGACTTTAAAGTGAATTTAGCCCTCATGTTGTGTTCTTGTCATTTTGACCTGGAGAGGATTTTTATTTTATTTTTTTCCTGAAAAAGTTAGTTAATGTTTAAGCATTAGCTCTCATGGTGTATGAGATTTTTTTATTTTATTTTATTTTATTTTATTTTATTATTTTATTTGTTATTATTATTATTATTATTATTATTATTATTATTATTAATATTTTAACCTCCTCATTGAAGTTTTAAAGGCTGCTTGACTATCAAATGTGACAAAAGCTGACACTACATAAAAAAGATTGCTTTTAGATGACAATTTTAAAATAGATGTAAACATTTTAAAAATTCAAAACAAAATACTTTATACCAAATAGCATATTTCTAAAATATATATATAAAAAAATTATAAAACAATTAAATAAAAAAAATAAAATAAATAGTTGCTTAAGGAAAAACTCAGCTAATGCACCTCAGTTTTTAACTGAAAAAAAAGAAGAAAAAAAATATTATTTGTGTGTAATTTTAGCAATATTCACTAAAAAGCTGAGGTGCATAAGTTTAGAGCAATGAAGCCAGCAACCAAACAATTCCAAAAAGAAATACAAAACCTGTGCTAACTGAAAAAAAAAAAAGCATGTTGACAAAAAGATTGAATCCAATATTTGGTGATAATATAGAACAATGACAGATTTACAAGCAATTTTGAAAATGCCAGTCATTTTTGACCAGGAACACCAAATTAGATAAAGGACTTTCAGCACAGCACAAGAGCTAGGAAGATGTTACAGTGAATGGGGTTCAAAATCTGACTTCATGTTGACTTTAAGACACAGCTATGTGTTCGACCTTTCCTCAACGCGCCCTCTCTCTTGGCTCACTGAATTTCTCACTTCCAAAACCCACCGAGGTGCTTTCTGAGCCTTTCTGGGAAGACAAAAGTACCCAGGCATGAGCAAAAAGCACATTGTCTTCTGCTACCTGTCCTGCCTTCAAAACCAGACGAAGTCGAGCATCACCGGACTCTCTCACATTTCATTTTCAAAGCTGTTTGTGTGCCTATATTCCACACGCCACCCGTTCTCACTGATGCTTCAATTCAACCTTCACGCATCTATGAGAAGAGGACATTAGAGGATCTTTTAGCATCTTTGCATTTCAATGATGACAAGAGCCTGATGTTTCAGCAGGCGGCTTTGAACATAAAGCACAGCTTTGCGGATCTGGATGAATGCACGGCATCCTTCCTTAAACCACAAGTTGTTTGTAGAGGCTGTCATAAAACGATACATTAACACATGCCAGCATTCATAATGGGAGGTCTGAGCCATTAAACTGCTAATCCTGTCAGTTTGTTCAATGTATAAATCGGATTTGAATTGCACTGGCTTGGGAACATTCATAACTACAGGTACAAGTCAAACCAAGAAAGTGCCCTTGTAACATTCGTAGCGACTCAAACTCATTGGGCCTCGTTCGTGAAACATAAGCAGAACAATGCAAGTCTTTCATCAACTTTTGTGAATGCAATTTAAAATTAAGGCATAGTTCATCCAAAAATGAAAGTTTAAAATGAAAGATGTAGATGAGTTTGTTTCTTCATCAGATTTTGTTTCAGCAGGCGACTTTGAACATAAAGCACAGCTTTGCGGATCTGGATGAATGCACGGCATCCTTCCTTAAACCACAAGTTGTTTGTAGAGGCTGTTATAAAACGATACATTAACACATGCCAGCATTCATAATGGGAGGTCTGAGCCATTAAACTGCTAATCCTGTCAGTTTGTTCAATGTATAAATCGGATTTGAATTGCACTGGCTTGGGAACATTCATAACTACAGGTACAAGTCAAACCAAGAAAGTGCCCTTGTAACATTCGTAGCGACTCAAACTCATTGGGCCTCGTTCGTGAAACATAAGCAGAACAATGCAAGTCTTTCATCAACTTTTGTGAATGCAATTTAAAATTAAGGCATAGTTCATCCAAAAATGAAAGTTTAAAATGAAAGATGTAGATGAGTTTGTTTCTTCATCAGATTTGGAGAAATGCAGCATTGCATCACTTGTTGACCAATGATGGATCCTCTGCAGTGAATGGGTGCCGTCAGAATGAGAGTCCAAACAGCTGATAAAAACATCATAATAATCCACACCACTCCAGTCCATCAATTAATGTCTTGTGAAGAGAGAAGCTGCGTATTTGTAAGAAACAAATCCATCAAGACATTTTTAAGTTAAAACAGTTGCTTCTGGCCACAATTCGAGTCCATAATAATGCTTCCTACCAGGGAAAAAGTCCATCTCCTGTTGTCTCTCACCGACATATTTGTTTCGAGCTGTTTTGCACTTTGTTTCCTCTTGTTAACAGTGCTTCTCTCCTGATTCAGACGAGATGACTTTTTCACTGGAGGAAGCATTATTATCGACTTGTATTTTAGCTGGAAGCAACAATTTAAGGTTAAAAACGTCTTGATGGATTTGTTTCTTACAAACACTCAGCTTTTGGCTTCTCAGGATGTTAACTGCTGGACTGGAGTGGTGTGGATTATTGTGATGTTTTTATCAGCTGTTTGGACTCTCATTCTGACGGCACCCATTCACTGCAGAGGACCCACTGGTGAGGAAGTGATGCAATGCTACATTTCTCCAAATCTGTCAAAAATGCAAATTCAAAGAAACATTTTGCATGTTGCAAAATATAGAATAAAATAGATGTTTTATATATTTAATATTTAATAGTTTACACACAAATTTAATCTGCTTTAGTTTCATAAATGAGGCCTGTTGTTTCACAACAAAATTATTTTGTAAATGTAAATGTTTATACATGAAACGATGATATGGTGAGCTACATATAAAGACTGAAAAATGAAAAAACTGTTGATAAGTAAATGAGGGTTGTGCATACATAATCAATTACAATGATGAGTATATAAATGAGCTTAAGGAACATGAATCAGTCGGGCTTAACACTGGCTTATCGATAGAAACACTATCCCAAATCAGAATTACAATACGGGGCAAAGGAAACTGAATTATTCAATAAGAAATTTCTTTTAAAATTGCCTGTATCAGGAACAAACAAAAAGAAAATATTTGTTAAATAAATGAACGGGTTTGCACTGAAAAGAGCAAAAAAAACATCTTTCTTTGCGAGAGCTATTTTGTTAGATACGCACTTTTGAATAAAAGTTGCTACCTGGTAAAGCCAAAATATATAATTATATTAGAAATATAAATAAATTTTTCTCTGTAAGAAAACATTTTATAACTAAAACCTTTATATATTAAGATATGGATCATGAATTTTGAATTAAGCAGGAGCAGCCCTCGGTAAAACTCGACCTTCACGCTCACCATCTGAAGTCCTCTAAAATGACCTTAAATCGCCAACAGCCTAGCAAAATAACAACAAAAACACTTCAACAAAAGAAAAAAAAAAAGTTAAAAACATTTACTCATGACCTCCCCATGCTTTCTCACAGTGGTACATAACAAGTTGATTTATATAGATTTTTATTCTTACTTTTTTCTTTATAACGTCTGCTTTTTATCGCACAATGAACTCGGGAGGGGCGAAACACACAAAAAAAAAAAAGCGTATTTTGTTGTCTCATTTTATGCAGTATAAAAGGAAAACAAAAATAGATTTTCATATTTTCCCATTCTTTCCCGAAAAAGTAAAGCGATCCCATTTGCACGGCGATCACTTTTCATCCGAAAAGTTTGCTTTTCTTTTAACTTCATTTAGAAACGAGAGCAGTTGGCTTCTGATTGCACCAAGCATTCTTTGGAACAAGCAGGATGCAAAGGTTTCCTCCTCATGTCTAGCTAGCTAGCTTGCTCTCCTTTTTTTTCATGGGCTTTTTCTTGCTATTTTTTTGGAAAATGTCCGGTCCAGTTAGGGAAAGGCTGACAGCGCGAGTCTGTCTGAAGCGTCCGTGTGGCTGCATGCCGCCTACTGCCATTATCTCCACCGCAGCAGCAGCAGCAGCCAGGTGAGGGCCGTTACAGCGGATAGTAACTGCAGCGAAGGCGTCTGCTGAGGGCCCGCCGCGTCTGCTGGTGGCTGAGGGTCGCTTTTGTCTGCTTCCTGCATCGGTGGCTCCGTATGGACCACTTCCGGCTCTGTGGTGAAGCCGCTTCCGCTGCCCGAGCCGCTCTCCTCATCACCTGGCGTAGAGAAACACACAGAAATAACATGCACCTGCACACTGCACCTAAAATCGCTGAAAAATGCAGGTTCAAAAATGTTAAGGTTCAAAATATTAAGGAGTCAAGTTTAGTGTCTGCAGAATAATTTAGAAAAATGGCTCAAACACAAGCAAATGAATGAATGTCTAAAAATGCACTAGGACTTATATTTGTAACTTTTTTAAAATCGAAAAGCTTCTAAAATGTCAAACCTTATAAATTATAAGTTGCTAATAAGTTTTGAATTATTATAAAAATATTAAATATTCAAAAAACATATAAAGCAAAAAGCTTTAAATATTTAAAAAGTTTACTATCTATGAATATTATACACTATTGTTTTGTATTATTAATACATTATTATACATATAATACATAATATATTTTTATTGTATATTATATTTTATATACATATAAATTATAATTACATATGATACGTAATGTGTGTTTATAAAGGACTTATTGACTTCATTTTAATTATCAATTGCTAAATTTTTGCTTATTTTATTTTTTCTATTATTATTATGTTATATTTTATATTCGATTATTTTTCTATTATAATTTGATATTTTAAATTACAAATATATTTAATGTGTTAAAGACACCTAATGTGTGTTTATAAAGGGGGCATAATAACTACATTTTAATTTCTTTATATTAAATCTATATATTATCAATCGGTACATTTTATATTGTAATTTCAATTATTTTTTATTCAATTTTATATTTTTGCATCTTATTTTATTCACTATATTTTTAAATATTTAAAAGGCTCCATATCTACACATATTATATCTATTTTTGCATTATTATATTAAGTTAATATTATATTTTAATATAATAATGTGTTTTAATATGTGTTTATAAAGGGCTTAGTAATTGCATTTTGTATTATTTACATATTATCAACTGCTAAAATTTATATTGTATTTTCGATTTATTTTGAATACTTTTACTATTATTTTGTTATTATGAAATCATATTTATTTATTTGTTTATTAAAAAAATGCTGAGTTAAATACAACCCAGCGCTGGGTAAAATATGGACAAACCCAGCGGTTTGGGTTTGTCCATATTTAACCCAGCATTTTTTAGAGTGTATATTTGCATTGATTTATTGATTTCTGAAATGATTTACTGATTTCTTGAATGATTATTAGTTGGTCCTATACATAGGTTTCGAGTTACTCAGGATCAACTCAAACCCCAGCAAACAGAAATGGCACCGGAGGACGTGAATATTCCCGGACCCGACCCTCCATTATCATAATTCAGCTTCCTGTTGGTTTGTGACAGATGAGGGATCTCATTTCACTTACTCTGGCAGAGGGTCTAGACGGCGTGTGACGCTTTCTGACGCCGTCGAATGATTAATGGAGTCGCGGGCGGCCGTTTGAGGGATGGGCTGGCCTCTTTACGGGGAATAACACATGCTGGAGAGCTTTTGCATCAGAAAAGGGTGTAAATGTGCATGCCAGTTTGGGCTTATTTTTATCTGTGCAATTGAATCTATTTTCATCTATGCATTATACCTTTAAGAAAGTCAGATCTAAAGTAGGTCGAAACCAAAATAAGTGTCAATAACATTGTGCATGACTTAAATACTAATATGTCTCCTTGAGAACAGAGCGGTGCACTCAGAGAGATGAGCTTGCTGACTTTTTCACCTTTGAGTTGTTTGTGTACCTCAGAATTGCACTGAAAAGCAAACATAAACTTCTATATAGGCTGCGAATTCTCCAACTTACAAAATCGAACATAACTGGGAAGTTATATATTTTATAACGTCTTATTTTTACATTTTGTAAGTAACAATGCCTGCGATGCCAATTTGATTCACACACTGAATTAATTGCATTTATAATTTCTGCCTCAAAATACAATGTAAGTTGCTTTGGATAAAAGTCAAATGCATATATGTAGATGTTTGTATTCATGCTGGCATCTCATGGCTGTGTTTTTCCTTGTGTGATTGTTATCAGGATGGACAAAAACAAACAAACAAACAAAAAATTTGTGTTTACAAACAGATTAATGACGAATGATTAATACATCTTTTAGTTATTATTTAATATTTTATTTATTTATTTTATTTTATTATTTATTATTTTAATTATAATTATATTATTATAATTTGTAGCTATTCATATATTATCGATTGCTAAATTGTATATATATTTTCAGTTTATATGTAATGTTTTTTGATGATAAAATATTTATTTGTATTTATTTAATGATTTAAATGAATTCTTGAATAAAAATGAGATGGATCATATACAAG